CATTGCTGGATTCTCTTCATTGCTTCGCTCCTCATTTATGTTTCTCCCTGGCGTCTCCTAGGCTGTGTCCGAATGTCCGCCCTAATCACTATATAGGGCACTAGATTGTGGTTACGCAATTTTAAATGAGTATCCGAACGTCTAGTGGATGGAAAAGTAGTGTACTTGAAATTTCCCACAATGCACCTTGAAAAGTGATTATCCATGATCATTAGATGAGCAGATATATCCCAGAATGCACTGAAAAAAATAATGCAACCGCTTTTTGTATTTACTTAATCATGTTTAGTTACTTTAACACAATTGTTTTATGTCCTACCCTGCTAACATGAAACAATTGTGTTAAAGTAACTAAATATGATTAAGTAAATGCCAAAAACTTATGCATTTTTTTTCAGAATGCTTTGCGAAGAGAGCTCTCCTTCAAAGTGTCTTGGGAATTGTTGTCATAGCGGCTCGCTGTTGCCTACGCCTGTTGTTACCCAACAGCACCGACAAATAACAAAGACGGCACTGGCACCGTGTGGGGAGGCTGAGTCATGTGACCAACGAGGAGGGAAAAGTAGCGGTCATCTGTCCAAACTGAGTTCACTATAAATTCCACTATAAAGTCCCCACTCTCTATAGTGACTGAGGGACTTAGAGGTTAGGGCGGACGTTCGGACACAGCCCTAGTTTTTGGTTACCTGATTATGATTTCTGGATTCGTATTCCTGTTACCATCTACATCTTAATTAAATCTGCAAGAACTCATCTCTGCATTTGGATCCTCAACTAACTTCCACCAAACCTGGCAATATGATACAAAAACAAAAAGATACTTAAATTCAACTCAATTAAAAAAAAGAGGTTGATTTTGTGACTAGAGAACTATCCATCCATCTTCCTCAGCTAATTCCGTCATGGTCGCATTGGTGTCGATCTTCGGTAGTCTATGGGTGAGAGGAGGGGTAGACGTAGCCAGTCTGTTGCAGGGCGCTCTAGTGAATTGTTTCTATGGAAATAAGGTCCTATGGTTTGGATCATTATCCCATTAATAGACCAAATGATAATACATTTTCTTTTAATCCCAGAATCAACCAGAATATTACCAGTATTTGTTATCGCCTAAGGTCCAAATCCTGATTGATCCTGTTGGTATGAAATTCTCCTCAAAATAATTATCCTGTAATAGTAGTTAGGGGGGGACACATGAGATAGCCTTTTCCATTTCTCAGAGAGCCTCGGTGTCATGTCAATTATACTTCAGGGGAAGTCAAGAATCCAATGTTGATAAAAAGAGGTACTTAATTATTAGAGGTATTGATAGTTGTAGTGAAGGAGATTTGTTGAAAACGAGTAATTTATTTCCACTGGATCCTCATATTAAAGGTTGGACTATAATACTTTTGGTAGAGAATTATGCTTAAATATTGTAAGGTTTTTACACATCTTTACTATGGTTGCCAATATATGAGGCCAGGTTTGTATAATTTAAAGAAAAATAATATACCGTTAGTTCAGAAATTAATACAATACATCTTAGCTTTTACTTTTTAGAAAGAGTCCATGCAACTATAGAATTACTTTTTATGCTGTTATTATTTTGAGGTTAGTACCACTCCTGTCACTACCCCCTTATTGTATAAAGAAAGTAATGTTTCCTGTGACACACTTCTGTTTAATTTCAGATCACCACATTATGCCTGTCCTGAAGTTATACGGGTAAGGAACCTGCCTTCTCTCTGTGTCCTCCTTCAATGCCTCAACCTGTGATGAATACGAGCAAATGATTTTGTTCAAATATTGATTCTGAAACAAATTCCCTCGGCTACATGAACTGAACAGTGAACTTATGAACTACCTCTCATGCCGATACTAAACCTGAGATTTGTCTTGTTTTAATGTGCTCATCTATTGTCAAAGTGAATTTTCATATTGCGATCAGCACTTAAAAGATTATCCAGCTCCATGAATAAAATGTTTTTTTCAACGTGTTGGTAGAGACAGAAGAAGTGAAAGGATTAAAATGGATTAGAGCGTTTCTCCTGACAGAATGTAGTCATGTTTAAGCCTCTATAACACATAATTCAGCTAAATTAAGTGAATTCTTGCATATATCTTGAATCATCTTTTGTGATTTTTTTTATTTTATTTTATCTTTGACAGGGGGAGAAGTATGATGGGAGGAGAGCAGACGTGTGGAGCTGTGGGGTCATCCTTTTTGCCCTCCTGGTGGTCAGTTTTAAACTTAAGCTTTACCTGTTTAGTAGTGGTTTGTTTTATTTCATTTTAAAGTGTTTGTCTCTCTGTAATTTTTACTTTCTCCCTCTTATCTACAGGGTGCCCTGCCTTTTGACCATGACAACTTACGCCAGCTCCTGGAAAAGGTGAAGAGCGGTGTGTTCCACATGCCGCACTTCATCCCTCCAGACTGCCAGTCACTGCTCAAAGGCATGATAGAGGTTAACCCCGAGAAGAGGCTCACGGTATGTTACCCATCAAATTATTCCAAGAATACCGCAGACAATATTAGGATGACTCTGATTTATGCATTTCAACTAGTAGCTTCTATTTACAGTTTATATTTTACAAACAGAAATAGTAGTGCTTTTATAGGGATTGTATGTAATAGAAATAGACATAGTCAGGGTTCTCGCCATCATATTTAAGCATAGCTGAAGTTTATCCTGCCATGCTGAAATTCAGCCCGCTAAGCTCATAAAAAATGAGCATACACAACCCTTTGACTGGCATCTGGCCTCCCTCCCCCAGGGCTCTGTCCAGCGCATTTCAGCACAAATGTTGCTCTGAAAGTTGTTAAAATGACACTGAAATTAGTCCAATACACTGACTTTTAATGAGTATAACAGTCACAGAAAGAAAGAAAAAGGAGTGAGCTTAATTTACAGAGAGACAGATAACGAAAAAGCATGCAACCTTTAAAATATTTTTTAAAAAGAAAAATCTGATGTTTATGTCTTGCATTTCAGTCCAGCCTCATTTACTTTGAAAGCCCTAAATGAAATGTTTCAATCATCTTAGGTTGTCACATAATTAATAGCTGGAGGGTTCCTTTAATCTAAATCCAACTGTTTTATGAAGACTTCAGGATTTGTAAGAGAACATTAGAGAACAAAGAGCATAAAGTTGAGTATTGTTTAGATTTAAACTATTACAATCCCTTGTTTTAATCCTATTGATTCTGGTTTTTGATTCTTTTAAGGGAGAGGTAATAAAAGTTAAGGGGGAAGCTGGCTAACCAGAGTTTAAAAAGTCTAAACATCTTTATCAAATATTATTCTAGGATTTTTTTTTTAAATAAATGTTATAATATATTTTACAAAATTGTATATACATATTTAATAAATACAAAGCTATGACTCTAATATAAATTTTATAGTTTTCACATTTATGTATATCTAGTGTCTGATGGTACAGGTACCGCATAAGACTTATTCTGTTATTTTACTGCCCTGATTCTGAGTGTGGTGATGCTGCAGGTGTTGGGCTAAGGAAGGTATTCCTGCAAAATTTATGTGCTTTGTTTAACACACTAAACATGGAAGGATTGATATTATACTTTTGTGCACAGAGGAACGATCCGATTTCCTACTTGTTTGGAATCTGTTAAAACATTTCATGAAAGGAAGAAAAGATGAAAAAGGCTTCACTCTTCTGCAGAAGTTATTCTCTAAATGCAATCCCTAAGGGAACCTACCTTAACACAACGCAGGTGCAGAGTGTCAGAGACAAAGCTCTCATCCTGACCTCGTTGGGGTTATATCGTGTTGGCCATACACCATCCTTGTCATTTCTTTAATTAAAACTACGTCACACTTTCAAATGATTTCACACAAAAAGATTGTTACACGCTCCTGCAGATTTTCCTTCTCTGGTATTAGTGGCTTCTTCTACCAGTCGGCAATGAATGCCGGTTAGCATTGAAACCTAACCTTGCATATAAAATATATACAATTCTGGGAGAATTAAAAGGTCAGGACCATTTCCAATCGATTCATGGTGCCCAACCATACAAGAGCATCACAAAGAATACATCAGGTCAACGTGAGCAGACGAAGAATTTGTCAGAAAAGCACATTATTAGCCTATGGTAAGTCTGAAGGAGCTGAAGCAGGTAGAAGAAGCTCAGACAGCTAATGGCCTGCTGCACTGGGGTTTAAATAATCCCATAAGACTTTCTGTTAACAGTGAAACATCTGTCATACAGAGGGAACAGAAAATCTGTTGAAGCATATAATAAGGTTTGAGGAGACTAAAACAAATTTCTTTTGGTCGATATGCTAAAGTGATAGTAAACTAACATTGCTCATAACTCAGGGGTAACCAATGTGGTGCCCGTGGACACCATCTTCTGAAACTCATCAGTAGGCTAAGATTGATTTTTTTTTATTCTGTTAGTCTTTTTTTTGAATAATCTATAGAGAATTTCATCATTTTAACCATACAGACTATTTAGGCATTTATAGAGATTTCAAAATGGCAATTAGGAGTTAAAAGAAACATAAACATGGTGGTGGCAGCATCATGCAGTGTGACAGCGAGAACATATTCATGTTTTAAAATGACTCAAGGCCTTAGCTTTTAAAATCCATTGTTTGACAAGAAAATTGAAGCTCACAGAGATTTTCTGTCCATATGACCAAGCTTGATCTTCCAACGATTACCAGGAAAAATATTCAGTCAACAGATTTGGAAAGCTAATGGATACATACCTCTAAACACTTTCAGTGTAAGGGGTGCTGATTTTGATTAGCAAAAAACATTAAAACCACTTCACAATTATGCCTATTTCCTTTAGATCTTTGAATAAAACCATAATAAATGTGTTCTACGATTGTCAATAATACCTATTTAAGGCATTGTCCATCTGTATTATAACCTTTATTGTGATATATTTGTCTTCTTCCATTTCAGCAAGGAATAAAGCTATAAACTGGGATTGTTTATAGATGAAGAAATTTATCCTTAGAAAATAAAAGAAAAAATAGAAATCTTATGCAAACTGTATGCATGGCCCAGCTCTGTTGCCATCTGGCTGTGAACAGACTGTAGAAACTAATGGTCCCATCTGCCCTCTTTCTTTTACAGCTAGAGGCCATCCAAAAACATTCTTGGTATCAGTGAGTAAACCTTCATTATTTCATCCTATTTTTTTTAGACTGCTGTCAAAAGATGTTGCACCAGGTTGTTTGTATTTTTAATTGTATTAATCCAAGTCTGGATTTGTGCTGTTTTATGTGCGGTCCATAGGGGGGGTCGTAATGAGCCGTGTCCCGAACAGCCTCCTCCAAGGCGGGTGTGTGTGAGGAGAATCTTGTCTCTGACCGAGCTGGACCCAGATGTGTTGGAAAGCATGCACTCTCTAGGATGTTTCCGTGACCGAGTCAAGCTTACCAGGGATTTACAATGTGAAGAGTAAGACTGCTTTTCATTAAAAATATGAATATGATATTGAATATGCCTTACAAAGCAATACCTGTGTTATAGATACAGATATACAAAACAATAGCTTTTTGATTTTACAGTTGGCTTAAACATATCAGTCCTTTCTGCACATTTTCGTCAGCTGTGAGAGAGCATATATATAAACAAATGTACAGTCTATACTAATATGCTTAATAAACAAAGGCTACAAACGCTAGACATTAGAGCAGATAAAATTCAATTCAGATTTTTTATATAGCGCCAAATCACAACACATTCCATCTCAAGACACTTAAAAAAGACAATTCAATCAGATCAAACATTCAAATTGATTCAGAGTTTTCTGTCTAAGGAAAACGAGCAGGTTGCATCAACTCATTGACTCAAAGGCAATCCCCCACACCAAGCATGCATGTAGCGACAGTAGAGAGGAAAAACTACCATTTAACAGGAAGAAACCTCCAGCAGAACCAGGCTAGGTGTGAGCGGCAATCTGCCGAGGTCTACTGGGGTTCAATGAGACAGAAGCAGACATACAGAAAGAAGCAGAGACACAAAAGGCAATTGTCAACCAGCTCCACAGGCGGCCCCGTCCAGGAAACACACAGCTAAGTAGACAGGCTCTGAGCCAGCTCCCATGTCAGGATAAAGAGAGAGGAAATAAAGTTAGTCACAGTCAGAGAAACAGGACTACACTAAAAAAAAATGCACAAGCTCCAACATCTATAAACAAAGGTTGATGGCAGCAGCACAGCTGATATTTCTCTCTGGGACAGCCAAAAAGGAACAGACCAGATAGAGCTACTATGAGAAAAAGCAGAGAGAGCATAACGTTAGCGACTGAACATACAAAAATTTTGCAGAATGGGAGAATAAAAATAGATAGAAGCAGAGTGATGAAAAATTGGTCCCTATGTCCTCCAACAGCCTAAGCTTATAGCAGCATAACTGTAGCGATAGCTCTGGGTAACCTGAGCCACACCAGCTGTAAGCTGTATCTAAAAGGAAATAACAGGCAGAACAGCACAATTTCCCTCACAGAAATTCAGGTAAAATGAATGACTTACTGTGGAGGAAAGATCTCTCTGATCCAATACAACATTTTATAATTCAGTTATGAAAAGTGGCTTTGGAGATATTCACCAACCACAAAAGAGGTGATATAAGTACTTACAATTATATTTCATTTTATCTTAACCGATTGGTTCATTCAAATTACCTGATGTATGTTTTTTAAGGCTAAAATACACCAGAGATAGACCAGGAGTGTATAAGTTCTTGACCTGAGCCTGTTGAATCAGACGAAGGTGGTGTATTTTAGCCAGCTACACAGAATCTCTGCAGACAGAATAAATGTTTGGTTTAAAACATTTATCCTACCCGATGGCCTGCATGTGGTTAATCAATGCCAGGGTGATTTCTGAGATTGCAACTTTTTTCGAAAGCTGGTTGTAAAGCACGTCTACATGCAGTAAAAAAAACACTAGACAGCTTCATCACATAGCTGTTGGCCTCATTTTATTTTTCCCCAGTGATCCAAACTTTCATGCTTGCTCATTCTCTGTTGCAGAGGAAATATTTTCAGCGAGCAAAATCTTTTTTATTTGATGTTAATGAGTAGCAAACCATTGATGATTTTCACTGTTATATACGCTTGACTGTTTTGGTTTAATTCTGCTTAAATGTTATAATAGACTGGTGAAAATTCAGTGTTGAGTAACCATAATTTGGTGAATATAATGAAATGATTTATACTGCATGCAGCCACACACTATTATGTAAAGCTGGCTATTATAATGTAATTTATCATAAAGCATATGTTGTGAAAGTATATTTTCTATATACCCCTCAATATTAAGTTGGGTGGCACCCTAGCGCCCCCTAAAGGCCAGCTCCTACTCACTTTAGTGTACGCTCTACTTATCCTGCCATTTTAATGTTAGAAGGCACCAAAATCATAAACCATCACATTGTATTGAGCTTCACACTGATTTGGAAATCTGTTTGTTTTAAAGCATCTTAAAAGGTTTTTCTCTTAAACATAAGTATGTGGCTCCATGTTTTGGTTGAAATGTCACAATTATTTGTCAATTAATTAAAGGTAAACTCTTCTGTAGGATCATTTTATTATGAGCTAAAAAGGCTTGTGAGACTTTATTCATTTTTTTTTTTACATTTCTTTATTTATCCTAGAGAAAACCAGGAGAAGATGATTTATTACCTACTGCTGGACAGGAAGGAACGCTACCCAAGCTATGAGGATGAGGACCTGCCTCCACGCAATGATGTTGGTGAGTCATTAGGGGGCAGGAGCGAACCATTTAAGAAAGGAGGCTCCTTTTCTTAGCCCTTTACGTCAATATTTTGTTTCCCTTCGTTTCAAAAACACGAAACGTGATAGGACATTTGTCCAGTGAGAAAGCTAAGAATACCACAGTGAATGAAAAGCCACCAGATGATTATAAATGTAAATATAGCAACATCATCAGGACCATAAATCCATCTTAGTCAAAGGGAGATCTCATTTAAAATCTGTTATTTATTTTTAGAAACACTTCAAGATCCCATTTGCTCTATTTTAAGAGCAGTCATGCTCTAAAAACTTACATTATGGTTAAATAAGATAACCAGTTTAAAACTGACAGAATTGTACCTTTACACTGATGTCCCCCAGCAGACCCTCCCCGTAAGCGTGTTGACTCTCCCATGCTGACCCGACATGGTCGCTGTCGTCCTGAGAGGAAAAGTCTAGAGGTGCTAAGTGTAACGGAGCAGGGCTCTCCCACGCCACCTCGCAGGGCTCTGGATACAGCTGCACACAGTCAGAGGTAGTGTTCTCTTTTCCTCCATGTTTGCAGTTAATACAGCCTTCAAGACATAAAGAGTTGACTTTATACTGTTTGCCTTCTTCAGGTCTCGCTCTGTCAGCGGAGCTTCTAGTGGTCTCTCCTCGAGTCCTCTAAGCAGTCCCAGGGTAAGGATAAGTTCAAAGACTGTTGAGGCATTTTATTATAGAATGATTTTCTACAGGCTTTACATATCCAGAGGCCTGTACAATTATTTATTCACCTTAAACTTTTCAGCATTTTGTCACATAACCACATTTTTGAATGGGATATAGGAGGATTTTATTTAGTCCACCATCAAACAGCATTTAATGATTAAACAGTAAAAATCAAAGTATAGATTTTTTACATTTGTGTTTAGAAATCTTTAAAGTAATATTTGCCTGTTAACTCTGTTCCCCCTAAATAAAATCCAGAGAGAAATAATATAATATAATAGCAGCATAACTGAAAGTTTTATATTAAGGACTCTAAGGTTTCTTAGAAAATATTATAACAAAAAACAGCATTTATAAGGAGCAACTACACAGCAGACATGTCAGAAACAAAGCCGAGGAAAAGTTAAAAGTACGATGAGGGTATAAAGCTTTCAACATTTCAAAGAGCTCTTTTGGATCCTTTATTTGAAAAAAGAAGTTTGTCAAACTGGTCAAGAGATCCATCTAAACCGACAAATCAGGCAAAAAAAAGAGCACTATGCCAGGAAGCCTAATCAGGCTGCAATGATCCACAGCGTGGAGGAATCTTTATAAAGATAATTTATTTCATATTTTGCCCTAAAAGCAACATTGTAGTGTTAAAAGACACAAGGAGTCTTTATTCTAGTTTGCTATAAGCTATATAGGAGATGCAGCAAATGGGAGAAAAATGTTTTGTGGTTTTAAGAGTGTAGAATGATTGAAACCAAATCATTAATCTCAAAAAACCCTCACCGCTAATCACCATTTCCACTCTGCCAGTTATGTGAAACACAGTGACGATAGCATCGTGTTTCAGGAGTTCTCTTTTTTTTTTTTAGCAAGGACAGGAAGGCTTTGCAAAACTGATAGACATATAGAGTAAATGTCAATCCTGGAGAACACCTGTTGGAGGCTGCTAATAACTTTACAAAAGGATGGAGGCACAACTTTTCATGAGCACAGTGATCATGAACATAAAACTAGAGCTCGCATGGAAACCAATCAGCCCTTTTCCTTTTTACTTCAATGTTATGTCCCACCTTGGTATCAGTTAGCTTACCAAATAAAATGTTTACTGGTTTCTACTCCTAACAAGTCACTATATCTCTTTGCTTTCCTCAATAGCTCTAAAGCTTGAGATGGGTGGACTCTAAATGAATGTGTTTGAAGATTTTAACATAAAGTGACCCTCTTGTTGTATTTTCTATGGCTTTTGCAGCACTCTTAATGTGTTATTGTTGGGTTTTATAACTGATGTTTAATCCTGTTGCATAGCAACCAGTTCCTAATGTTTTGTGCTTAACTTTTTACAATGAACTCCTTCACTAATCAGTTTGTGGTCAATGTTTTTAAAGTTTAAGCTGTTAACTATGAAGCCATTTTCTTCAACTTCCTGTGCTATCCATGTATCAATGTCTTCAGTCATTTACAAACATCATCACACCACTTCCAGTTCCCCAAATTAAAATCTGTCTCAATGGGAAGTTTGCATATTTTTCCTTTATTTCATTCCTCTTCTAAGTTGTACATGAAGTGGTTCAATTAGAAATTATTTAGAAATAACAAGTGTTTTTTTTTTTTTTACTTAAAGTGGTCTTTGTTTGAATCCCCCCCTGCTTTACAGTAACAGCATCACTGCCACTGCCCTCATGTTTCTGCACTTCTAACTTTGTCGCTTTAGAAAATAACAGTTAAAGCAAACTGCCAGCTTTCCTAATCGACAGTTCTATTTGCGTTAAGCACGTTCACTGTTCATAAGGTGCACTCTTCTGTCATTAAGCATGATATTCATTTCCATCCTTTCTCCATTTTCCATCCCTTCTCTTTCTTGTTTTCCATCTCTCTCCTCCCCCACCACTCCCACACTCCTCCAAATCCACTCTCCCAGTCCTACCAGAGCCCCGTCTTCACTTTCAGCCAATCAGACGTCACCTGCGCCACTGCTTCCCCCCTCACAAAGGAGTCCAAACAGGGAAACACCACCACTCCTCGTTCAGCACGCTCTCATGACAAGGCCAAAGCGTCCCCCAACCCCAAGACCCAGACCCTGCCCACCAAAGGACCCACTGACCGTCCCCACCTGCAGGCCATCAAATCCCTGCCCCTGCACAACCCATCCTCTCGCTCGCCCTCCCCTTCCCCACTCCTGTCACCCATTCCCCGCTTCTTCTTCCCTTCGTCCTCTGTCCTTAAGTCAGTCACTAAGAGTTTCTACCCAAACTCTGCCCACTCTGTGCCACAGGTTACCCCCCAGGGCTCTCCGCTGCCCACACCGTTGGGCACCCCCGTTCACCATCCCCACCACCCCTCCACCACCCCGCCCTCCTCTTCCTCGTCCTCATCCTCATCACGGGCAGAAGGAGGCGGAGGGGTAGGTTCGCTGTCGCTCACCCCTCCCTCCAGCCCAGGAGGGGGTGGTGGCATGGGGGCCAGCAGCCCCGCCCACTGGAGGACTCGCCTCAATTCCTTCAAAAACAACCTGCTGGGATCGCCCAGATTCCATCGCCGCAAGCTACAAGGTGAGATTCAATGTTATGTTATGTGAGAGAAAACCCACATAGATTTTTGTCCTCAAGGTTTGAGATTACAGCCATAAACCTCAGTATCTGTTGGGTTGTCTATTGCAGACGAACACAAATGATGAATAAAGAAATTAGAACATGGTTTGTTAGCATTTATTGCAAATAAAACAACAACAACAGGCTGCTACCATTTTTAAAATACATACACCCAAGTGGAAGTTGGTTAAATAACTTAAGTCAGTTCAAAGTTTTGATTTATACTCAGACTTTTTGCATTCTGACTGTTCTTTGTTTACAACTTCGTCTAAATTTATTTTCTAATAAAGTTCTGTCAAATATAAAAAAGACCAGACAGAAGTTAAATTTCCCTCCCTCCCCACCTTTGTGAAATCAAACAAAAATGTTGTCAAACATTTGTTGACTTTATGACCTTTGAACTTAAGGTAATAACTTTATCACAAAATGAGGTAGCTGGATTAATTGATTTGTAACATTTGCTCTTTTTTTACCTTCTTTTTTTCCTCTTGAATGTATTCCTCAGGCGTGATAATAAATATTAAAAATCAAACCTCACTTTAGGGCCATTGCTTACTTCTCAGGTTTTTACTTGTTAAGATCTTTGAAAATGTGCTGCTTTGTGTTGGTCTAAACATAAACCCCCACATACACTGAGGTTTGTGTTTGTAATGTGTGCAAATGTAGATTCTTTGTTTTAGCCACACAAATAAAATGATTATCTAGCATAAAACCTTCACGGCTTCCAGCTGTTTATGACATTAACTTGAATTTAGATTTATCTCTCCCAGTTCCTACATCAGAGGACATGTCCAGTCTGACGCCAGAATCCAGCCCTGAGTAGGTCACATACCTAAACTTTTAATATCCCACTTTATCCCCTGGGCTGTGCATTTTCTCTCATTGCTTGCCTTTTTTCACTTTGACTGCAAGGCTGGCGAAGAAGTCCTGGTTCGGGAACTTCATCGGTTTGGAGAAGGAGGAGCAGATCTTTGTGGTGATCAGAGACAAACCCTTGAGTTCTGTTAAAGCCGACATCGTCCACGCCTTCCTGTCAGTGAGTATCTGATGGGAGTTTTCCTACACGCTGCTCTCTGTCAACTTTTGCTTGTACATAAGCGTGGCTCTGACCGGGAGAAAAGCCTTCACATGTACTCTCATGCTGTGCACCTCATTGCTTTTCATTTTTTCACTCTTCTCTTTATTTGATTTATTATTATTTTTTGTTTAATCTCGCTCACTTGTGGCATGTACGCTGAGCACTTTGCTTTCACCAATGGCTCACTCTCTGTCTCTCCTGTCCTCACCCTCACCCTTTGTCTCCCTATGCTCACGTCCGACCCCATGTACCTCTCCCGCCTCGTAAGTCTGTCGGTCTCTCTGCTTCTTCTCTGTCTCCCCACCACACAGATCCCGTCGCTCAGCCACAGCGTCATCTCCCAGACCAGCTTCCGGGCAGAGTACAAGTCCTCCGGCGGTCCCTCCGTCTTCCAGAAGCCCGTCAAGTTCCAAGTGGACATTGCCTTCTCAGAGAGCGAGAGGGAACGGGAAAGGGAGAGGAGCGAGAGGGAGGGGAGGAGAGAAACAGGAATCTACAGCGTGACGTTCTCCCTCATATCAGGCAAATGCAACGTATTTTTAGTTTTCTAACAGAAAACCTTTTTGTCACAACCACAGCTAGAGCTGCAAGATGCCAACTAAACTTATAGGAAGTGGATTTCACACTTACTTTGGTTATGTTCACCCTGTTAAATGTTTTTGTTGTGAAATAATAAGTTGAAGGGGAACCAGAGGAAGAGGCAGAAGAAATATAATGCGACTCACATGAGTTTTTTTGTAATTCATAGAAAATAAAGTGCTGCGGTTTCTTCATCAAATCGTTACGTACGTGAAACGCCAACATCTTCTATCTTGGTGCTTCAGAGCAATAAAGCCTTAAGGAGGCGCCTTTGAAAATTTCACCCAATGCCAAAACCCCCCTGAATTTAACTTTTAATTCAGTTTGAATTCTTCCGTTGTATCTCAAGTTGTTTTCTCTTTTCAAGCAACATTATTAAGTTTATTCTCAAGCTTTAATGTTTGATATAAATATAGTATTATCATATTTAATCTTGCTTCTTTTCTTTTCTGGCTTTGATGGATCCACAGGCCCGAGTCGCAGGTTCAGACGAGTGGTGGAAACGATTCAAGCCCAGCTTCTGAGCTCTCATGATCAGCCACTGGTGCAAGCCCTATGTGGTAAGGCTGCTTAATCATGAGCTAGCGCCTTTTCTTTTTATACTTTTAAAATTAGTTGAAAAGGTTTGAGAAGTGTCTACATTTGATATGAGAAATGCTTATCAACTCTGAACTTAGCCTCCATCCTCTCAGAGATGGATTTGATAAATCTGTGTCCTGGTCAACAGCTCAAGTGTGTTTCAACATAGGGTTACAAACTGATGGCTAGCCATTCTCTTTAACGATTTTTTGTTCAACAGCAGGAAACCCAGATCTTAAGGAAGTAAAGGCATCCAAGAACATCCCACTACTATCTCCATGTTTGATTGTTATTGTAATGTTCCTTTTTGGGATGATCTGAGTATCTGAAGTTACAGGAAATACACCTTCTAAGAATATTTTATTTTTCTTGTCAGCCTATGGAATGTTTTCTCTCGTGTATCCTTTTGGTCAGCAATGGTTTTGGCCTTCGATTTCTCTACTGGATCCAGCTGATCCCATGTCTCTGTCTTATTGCTAATTTAGCATTTCTCATTGTACATAGTTTTTTGTTGTTAAACTTTTGGTTGTTCTTGACGCGCTTTGTTGTAATTTTTGGCCTGTAAATCCGAGGGATGCATACCTGTGTTTTTTGAGTGCTGGATATCGATTCTCTCTCGGTTCACTACAGTGTCAAAGCAGAACTTCCCAGAGGTCAATGGCTTTATTTTGATTGGTGCATTGTGGTTTTTTGGGCATTAGCAAGTATGCAGCTGACATACAGTACATTGGGAGTGACTTTCCTGTTCTGCTGTGTTGATCCCTTCCCAGATGAGAAGAACAGTCGTCCCCATGGGACCCCCACCCGCCAAAACTCGAGGCGCTCTGAGGGTGGGGGCGACCGGTGCGAGTGGGGCGACCGAGCAGACGGTGGAGGCATAGGAGGCAGCGGAGGAGTTCTGCAACGCAGAGGCTCAGCAAAAGAGAGAACCCGCCTACTGTCCTCTAATGGAACCCAGTCCCAACCGTAGGATAGGAAGCAAGAACCCGCTGCAGGATGCTCGAGCTGCACCAGAAACCAGAAAGTAATAACTCCATCTTTAAGTATCCATGCGAGCTATGAGCCACCTCTATTCTTCCTAGACCAAGTTACTTAAATTCCTAAACATAACGAGGACTGATCCATTTTCCCTTCCAGCATATTTTTTGCTAAAATAACCTTGATGTTCTGGATCACCATTAATCATACCTTCAAAAGAGGAAGAAGATTTGAGGAACCACCCTTAAATAAATAAAAAGAGTTTGAAAATGAGGAAGATGGTATCCGCCCATTAGAACCTACTTTCCTAGATAAAAAAGATAACATTTCTGAAATGCAGATGTGCATGCCAGTTAGCAAAACAAATCCTCCATTGGAAGCTAACTCTACCAGATAAGTTAGTCTATGAAACCATTGGTCTGCAGTTTCTGCCATCTAAAATTACTCCTTAGATAAACAGTTGCGCACATGTCCCCATCAAGCAACGTGCAGATAAAAGTCCGTCTGGAGAGAAATGTAAATGTATCGCAGCATAAGAACTTCCAAGATTAGCAACCTGATACCACCTGAATAAATGGGGCGAGCTGATCCATAAGAAACTGCATCCTTGAGTTCCAGCAGTGGCTTTTGTTGATTAAAAGAAAGCCAACAAGTAAGCTAATTAAGTGAATGTGAAAAAAAAAAAAACATATTTTTTTTATTTATTTTTTTTTTCAGTTGTGTTAATGTGTTTACTTTTATTTGAGGATGTCTGTAGCGCAGTGATGTTGGTAAAGACGGCAGCAGAAACAGCCGTGTTGTTGCAGAACGTTGCTTGTTGGCAAACATTGATCTCGAGCTGTTTTGTATTTCCTTTTTACTCAGAGACAGTATGAAACAATGCATCTATGATTTTGCATTGGAACCTCATTGCTCTGAAATAGTGTTTTAGTTTGAACAAATATATGAACATTACCAGATGAATGGGGGGGGGCATTGTTAATACATGAATAGATCTCTGAACCTCATTTGAGCTGTTTGTGCCCAGACTGAATAAGAAGAGCATTCCTGACCTTTGGATCAAACAGATAGCACCTCTCATCAGAAGCATTTCTTCTATCGTCATTGTATTCACGTACTGACTTGTAAAAAAAAAAAGCAAAAAAAAAAAAAAACAACAGGAAACTTGTGTGGACATTTTCATGATACTGGACTCACAAGGTTTGCACAGGACTTCAGAGTAAGAAGCAAGCTTTTCCCAACAACCCCGCTCTTCTCATTTGAGTGTTCGCCATCGAGCCAAGCGGTCCATCAATGTGCCCGCGGCCATCTTTACGTCACCGCCATAGGACAAGCTGGACGTAGCAACTCGGACATCCACATGTTACTCCAATACTCCATCAGACCAGTCAGTGTTCTTCACCAGTCTTCCATACAGCACAATATGCAACAAAAGTGCAGGAGTTTCATGCTTTATTTATTTATTTATTTATTTATGTATTTATTTGTTTATTTATTTATATATATATTTATTTATGTATTTATTTATTTATTTCAGATTTTGGTTTTGCCATCAATTTATTTATAAAGTGTATTTCATGTCATCAATACCATTCTAATAGCAAATTCTATCATCTAATTCACTTAAAATCTGGATTTTCTTTGAACGCTCCTTTTCTGTTCTTATAGAAGCGTCAACTCGTCTCTCCTCTGTGACCTTTGTCTAAATCTGGTGTTTCTCATGCTTATGTCTGGTATCTGGAATCTGTGTGAGACTGATGATTGACGACTGAGTGAGGGTGAGATTAAAGCTTTGCAGCACATTTACTTTAAGCTGATCTTTGCATGGCGATTTCGCCCAACCTAATCATATCAAATTAATTATCAAAGCCAAACTCTTAACGGGCATTGTCCGTTTTCTTTTTTTCCTTACACATTTAATGTTTGTTTCACTCATTTTATCCTTCTCTTCATCCTGTATTGTGTACCCATCATCACAACAGAAAATGTATAGTTGTTCGTCTCACTGTTAGTGCACACTTTTACGATCGCACACCTTCATTTTCTGTTTCATGTCAAATCACCTTCACTTTCATTGACCCAGCCCTGGCTAAGATTGTAAACTATCCTCCATTCATATGGGTCAGTAGAATAAGGTGTTTTAAAAAAAATGAAATGTCTGTATCATAATTTAAATATAAAAAGTGCACTATTATTACTATTGCCTGTGATAAAAGAACAATTATGATTGAATTGATGCTCAAAATAAAGAGAGATTCACATTATTGTTATGGTGACAATAATAAACCCTAAATTGATATATGTGTCTTTTTAATTTCTTGGCTGGAAAGATGTAGAGATGCAGTGAGTTTTTAGCCTGTCTGTTTTTATATGCATGTATTTTATGCTTTTCTTTAGGTGTTTTTTTATGGTTAATTTCAGATTTGTTTAAAACAGGTCTCAGATTAAGTTAATCAAATTTCTTATTCAGAAATGTTAACTTGTATTCTGTACAACTGGAACAAAATATTTCAACCTGACGTGAGAATGCTGGATTTCAGGAAATTCTAACACCAATTAGACTTAGGAAAAAATTTTGTGAAGAGGACCAGGGTGGTCTCGAATAGCTGGACATTCAGCAAGCATTTCAAGGTAAGTTATAAGAACCATGTGGTCTGGTTCATGTGTTTCATTAAGATGGTTCTCTGCTGTTTCCTACAGAATTCTTCGCTTGTTTTTTTTCTGGCTGAAGTTGTCATCAGGCTGACAGACTAATAATAAGCCAAATTCTGCAAGTTAAAACCACACCGTGTGGATTTACATTAAAGCCTCTGTCATCTGAATCTTTTCAGTCAACAGAGGGAAGAGTTCTGTCACTCTGTCCTTTTCAGGAACACAGATTTAGGCAGAAATAGCGTAAGGCTGGATGGAATATGAATATGTGTTCTAAAGATTGAAATGAAATCACAGAGTCCCATATTAAGATTTAACCTCTTACTATGCTACTTGAATGATTGAGAGTTTATACCTAAATCTGTGAAAACCTGCCTCCTTTTGCAAGTACCTCTTGTTACATCATTAGAACAAAAACAGCAGAATTGGCCATGTTTTGTGAACATATAAAACTTTTTTTTAGTTGTGTAGATGCATAAATTTACCAGCTGTTTTTATTACGTCTGTGTATATAAACAGCATTGCGTAATGTGTTAGACTTGAATCGAAATATATTTGTATAGATTGTTTTGGGTTATCATAGTGCGTTCAATTGCATCACAGCCTGCAGGTTGACAAATGTAAACGAGAATGACTATGAATTAAACGACGGCTTACTTGTCGGCTTTTAAATATGAAATATTTCTTTTTTTTTGGCTTGTGTGCAATGGCTACTGGATGCTTTGGGGTCTTGATTTAGTTTATAGAGTACGCTTAGGCATACTAATGTGAATGAAATTTCATTAACAAAAAAAAAACAAAAAAAAACAACAACATATTTTTGTTTTTCTTCACATCAATAAACATAATAGGTTATTCTATAACGTATTTGAAATCTCAATCCAAAACTATCATTTTGCGGACATTGACGTCAACTCGCAATTCCATAATTTTCGACGCCCTTTGAAGGCAGCACCAACTCATCCTCGTGAGCATCTGTTGTGGAGCGCAGTCGCGGAGGAGGAAGGCGAACGCGGCAGGACTATCTGGGGGCGACGTCAGAAGTTAATAGTTCCTGCTTCACTATATTTTGGACGTTTTCCACCCATTTCAATAGAATCAGGTAAGCTATGGACTTGCCGCCACTAAAGTGGCAACAGTCGCATCTTTTGCCGCGCGTTAGCAAAGCTTTATCAGTGGCCGTGTTTTGGGATGGGCGCGCGGCTAAGTAGCACTAGCATCAGCTTTTTTAGCTACAGCTTGGTCTGACGTCTCGTAACCATATAAATTAACTGAAGAAGGCATTTTTATTCACATAGAGGACAAGTACGAGCTTATTTTGTGTGCGTTTTTGCTTATCTTTACATTAAAATCCACTCTTCTTTGGAATGGTCTCGTATTGACTGTTACTCTCTTGCCCTGTCACATGAATTCAGCTGTTTAAGCAATGCACAATTCCCCTATAGCTATTAAACATTAACTTCTGTGAATTAAAAATTAACTCTTACAAAATAGAGAGAAAATAAATAAGCAGAGCGCAACTATTGCTTTGTAAAACAGCGCACATTACATAAACATACAAATGTTTCCTTTTACAATTGTTTGCTTATGAAGGTAAACAGACTGCCCTTACAATATACATGCTACTCTTCTTTTGCTCCAAGGATGGGAATCCTTCTACACTTCCTCTGAAAGGGCTAATCCAAATGAACAGAGCCTTCTTGGGCTGTAATGGTGTCTAAATATGATTATTACTGTTTTAGGAACTCCTTATGTTGCTAGTTAAATTATAAAATCTCATATTTACATTTGGCTTTTCTTCCTTGGAAGTGTTTCTGCTCATATACAGCAGCAATAGGAAGACTCATACTGTTAATATTTTCAGATGACACACTGGTATTTGTGGTTGTCATTATTGTTTTTCGGCATCTTGTGTTTTTCCACCTTCTGTTCATCCTTCTCAAACAGGAAAGTTTGGTCAGATTTGTTTTCACGTCTCAAAGCCTTTAAATTCACTGATCAAGCTTTTCTTGACCAGCATCATTCTCCAGTTTGCTCTACCAGCTGATTGACTTTGATTGGCTTTAACAATTAAGAGTGAATATGGGTAACAGGTTCTTTGATGGTGGTAGTTGCTTTTTATTTGGACAAAAAACAGAGTAAGCTTAACATAAGTTGGGCCCTGACCATTATCTGAGTTTAATTTACCTATAAAAAATACCCCCCTGTTAAAGTGGTGGCATGTAATAAGCTTTTGTAATATGTACAATCTAAAAAAGGTGAGAGTTCTGTTGATGTATTCAATGGAGGGAAAGAATTTGATGATGACTTTTACAAAAAGTCAAGGATTCTTCTTCAGCATCTGCCCAAAGTCTATGGTATTTCGCAAGAAAGAATTACAACATTTGAGGTAATATTTCCATTACATTATCTAAGATAATCTTGTAACAAGTCATCTTTCTTTGTTGTGTATTTTTCATGCAGACACCGTAGTAGTCAAAATACCTCAGAGGCATTTACCTTTGTCCTAGTTTACACAAACCATACCCTTACAGTACTTCCTGCCATGTTAAAGGATGTGGAATTGTCTTAAGTTCTGGATAATCTAAATAAGAAATATATATAATTTTTTGTGTGACTCTGATAATATTCACACCTTTTTAAAAGAAATTCACCATATTCCATTAAGTTGTAAGTCCTTGAGTAAAAGTACTTCAGAATCAAGTTCATTTTCCAGTAGGACAACAACCCTAAATGTTCAACCTGAGCTAAATAAGTCTGGTTTAGATTACAGCACGTTTATGTCTCAGCAGACCACAGAAAATACAGCATTAAATCCATTTAGCATGTTGTGAAAAAATCTTTTGTTAATCTATATTAGGGGAGGTGTTTTGCAGAGAAGACGTATAGGTGCACAGGTTTGCATACAGAGCTGAAAATCTGTTTAAAAAATCCCAGTGAAAGACTCACAGCAGTAATTACAAAGAAGATATTTCCACAAAGTATGGAATCAGTTTAGCTGAATACAGTTAATTGATAGAGTTCTTTTAGATTCTCAGTTGTGAAAAAGAGAACAATCTATTTTTTTTGTCTTAGACCGAAGTTGAATAAATTGTTTTATCATGTTATATCACAAACTCCTGTTAAATGTAGGCTTAAACAGGGCAAAATTTGAAAATAGTAGAGCCCCAAATGTTTTTGAAGTTGTGACGAGCTGCCAGAGGCAAATACTTTTGCCCTGATGTTTTGACATTTGGTGTGATTGTATGTTTGACCTGGGATTTTAAATATTTCTGTTTCTGAAATTAAAAAACTTGGCTCCAGGAACCTTTCTTGCTGAATTTCTGAGTTGTGAAACTAAATATGTAATCAGACTATTCTCTGCCAGGTGTTTATTTGTTGAAGTGAGTTCTTGTTTCCTCATTCTATAAACAAAAGTATATTTGTGGCTTCATTAAGGCAGAGGCAGCTCTCAGGCTGTTTCAGCATCTCCGTTTTTTGTCTGCTAATGCAGCCATAGTCACATACAAACTCTTGCTGTGTTGTCTCAGACCAGATGAGGTAACCACTGCTGAAATTGGCTTCATTTCGTCAGCAATGCTAGCACAGCTGGATCTTCCGGATCTACCATGAAGTGTGTGTGTGGATAATAATTGTGTGCTTTTTTTGGAATAAAAGCAAAGGATGTTTTCATTTTGTTAATGTTTTAAAGCTTCATGGTGACTAAACCTCGGGCTATTATCCATAACCTACTTTTGAAGAGATAAATCAATTTTTTTGTGTGAGAAGCAGGAATCTGCCTGAACATACCACCGCTTCCACATCAGCATCATCCAGTCAGTGATTCCCCACCAAAAGCTGTCAGTTTCCTGCTGAGTTAAAGGGGGTCAAATGTAATGTGGTCTCAGCTAAATGTGCTTACGCAAAATGCACACATTTCAGAGTTTGTTGTGTCATCTGTCTCTGCACAGAATACTGAGCTGCATATAGGGCCAAGTTTGATGTTATCCTCTGCATGCAAAGTGTTTAACACTATTTTTCACCTTTTGTTAAATTATAGTCACAAATGTCTTTGATTTTATTTTGTTTTCCCATACAGACCAACAGAAATTAGGGCTTAATTGGAAAGGGAAATCCTGTATATCAGACATTTCAGAAAAATTAGGTGTGCATTTGAATATAAAACTCTATTATACTTCTTTATAAAATCCTATCGATTAAATTGCTTTCCATATTACCTAGACCTCCAAACAGAGATAAAACAGTCACATAAAGATGAAGAAAAATTTAAAGAAGGTTAGAAAAGGATCTACGTTTAAGTGTCCCATAAACCTCTAATCCCTCCAATTCATTGTTGAAATACAGTGGGTTCACAATATATCACAGATGATCAAAGATGCTCTCACAACGTCACAGTGCCTAAAATTAACATGACAAAGAACTGCCTGGACTGTGAGAAATATTATTGTTTCTTTATAATGACAAAGCTTGTCCTCTTATCAACTTAAATGTTTTAGTGAAACATTCATAATTCTTGGCCTAGTCAAAGTCTAGGGCCAAATCAAGTGGACAACACTTGAGTTTGTTCACAAACTCTCCCCATTGATCTTTCAGACTGAAGCTGGGATGGGTTTGACAAAAAAAAAAAAAAAAAAAGAGGGGGCAAACATTTCAGGCTACACTAAAAGGTTTTTTTTTCTTATTTTTTTTAAACACAGCACTTACTCTGGGGTATTTATGCAAATGCATAAAAACAATGGATTTCAGTTTTTAAAAACTTCTAAAATGTATCATAATCCCTGTAAAATACAGGTTTGTTGCTGTAATATGCGGTAAAAAGTTCAAAAGGTCTGAACAGATTTGCAAGTGGCTTTAAATGAGTCACTAATTAGCAATGCCTATGGGATGTTGCTCAAACTATTTACATGACATTCCTTTCCCCTGTGTCTCTTAATAAATATTCATGGTTGTTTTATGTTGTTTATAGTCTTCTAATCTACACACTTTATGCTGTAATCTCGCTGCAGCTATCAGGATTCAAGATTCCAGGCCTTTTTCAAAGTAACGTTGTTTCCAAGCAGACATTCAGCCTTGATTATATCAACAACTGATACTCAACCTGATAATGTTGAATTAAGCCCCTAATAATTCATCTTTTTTTTACACTGCTGCTCTACGTATATCAGTATCTGGACAAGGATATTAAATAAAAAACAATGAACATATAAATGTCTCACATGGTTTTGTTTTCCTCAGATATTTATGAGGGCCTGTCTACAGATTCAAATCATTTCATAGATAACTGTATCTAAAGAATGTTCAAACAATTTTCTAGTGGCGCTCCTCCTACAGGACCTTAAAATAGCCCAGCTGCTTAAAGCTGTTTGTCTTACCATGAAATAGAACCATCAATCATCTCGGAAACATATAGATTACCATCACAAGAGCTTAGAGGAGGGTGTATTTAGGTAAAAAAATTATGTAGTGCTGCCTTAAATGTTTGTGCATGCTTTTTGTTTGCCCCTGAGGTTCCTCTGGATCTAAAGTAGGAATATTTTTGGTCCTCTCCTGGATCTCTTCATCAGGTCCTTGCTTCGGCTGCTGTTACTATGGCGGAGGCCCACCAGGCAGTGGCTTTCCAGTTCACTGTCACTCCAGAGGGCATCGATCTGCAGCTGTCTCACCAGGCTCTCTCTGAGATCTACCTCTCTGGAGTCCGCTCATGGAAGAAGCGCATCATCAGAGTTAAGGTGGAGGAGTTTGAAACTGTTTAAATTATATATTGTTGTTGTCCATTGGATATGTAACAAAACTGCTTTAAACCAGCACGTTTTTGTGGGTCTGTTCTTATATTTACATCAACTTTTCCAAGTATTTAGAAATAAATCCAACATTAATTTAATGCGGATTTCTAATTTTGTAAAGGTTTGACCCAGTTTACCCCTTTGCTCCCACCTTCAGGCCCGGGATGTTTTGACGTCACATTTTGTTCCACATCCAACGCAAGCTTATTCGTAAACAAAACCCAACATGTTGTGCCTCTTTAAAATCAGGCAATCTTTAGTAAACATCCATTAACTCAATTCAAAGCCAAATATACTCCACAAACATTTTCGATTAACTATTACGTGGGCTTATTCACCAATCTGTTTGCTCCCAAAAATCAAGCAGAAGTTCCTTTCTCAGAGTCCGGAACACGTCAGAAACGTCCTGCATGAGTAATTGTAGTCTTTGCGCAGGTGGAACTCTACAAATCAGAGTCTGATCAAACATTGATTGACATGTTTTTTAAGCCAATAAGATAAGCTCTGCAATAAAGTATTGGAAGTTTAGTGTGGGCTGAAAAGATGGTGCTTATTTTTGTGCATAAGAAGTGAGAGGAGAAATAAATGGATTCACACAGAAAATTGATAGTCAGAATTCTGAGAGCTGAAAATGTAAAATATTATAAAATAAAGTGCTTGAATGAAACTTTTGCGTGAAGCTACATATATATGTATATTTTTTTCAATTATTAGAATTAGTCATAAAATTCTACTAATCCAATTTGGCACTTTTGGTTCTAATCTGGATGAATTGTGTTGAATGGACCTTTTGCATACAAAAAGAGTCACAGTTTCACAATGCTTATGACTAGAGACCTGAAATTCTACACAATAGTTGTTCACAACATGAACAACAAGTGCAGAAAAATGGAGAGGTCAACTTTGAAATATACCCAAAATATAGATTATTGAAAATTGTTTTTTTTTTATGCGAGTAGGAAAAAAAAAAAGATTCTTTGGGACGTGTTTTACAGTTGCATAGCTTAAGCAGTGTTTTATAACGCACAGAGTTTGCACATTTATCTCCAGAAACTGGAATACCTTTGCGTTCAGATGAGATGCATCACAATCATGTGTGATGTATATTATTTTCTGGCCAATGGCATTTGGGTATATTGGGAAAATAGTTTGTTCATAAGCTACAAAAAGGTGGGAGCTAAGGGGTTAAGTTAGTCTTCCGTCATTAAGTCTGTATCTTGATGTTTTGTTTATGACTGACGGATGAATAGAGGTAATAAAAAAACTTCAGAAAGCATTGAGAAAAAAGTGACTTAATTTTCGCTTTAAGAAATTAAATAAGAGTCTGGCTATCAATAGTGTAACTTTTAATTTATTAAACAAAAAATATTAAGGCTGTTTAAATAAATCTAATGTATTCTTAATGTTTTGTATCTCCAACTTACATTATTACACTGAGGATCTCACCTGGTTTATTAGCATATAATTATTTCACTTGTCCCTTTGATTTTTAAATAATTTTTTTCATATTGTAACAGAACCGAGTGATCTCAGGTGTGTATCCTGCTAGTCCTTCTTCATGGCTTTTTGTGGTCATAGCCATCCTGGCTACCATGTACACCCGCTCAGACCCCTCCATGGGACTCATAGCCAAGATCCAGGAGCATCTGCCTGTCAGGTACAAAACACAAGGAATACATCAAATGTTTTAAATAATACACATGGACATGAGTAAATCTGTTGATTACCTGGGCCATTATTGAAGAAACACTTATGTCCCTTTCATTAACATTAGAGGAAAGATTACCTATTTATTCACATGGCCTTTTTTTCCTCTTTTTCACCAATAAACTTGTTTAAAGTAACTTTTTTGTTGACAATGATATGTAAGTACTAAAGCAAAACTATTAAACAATAAATAGTTTGTCTAAAATTGACTATTGCATACCCGCTACAATAAAAATTAGGTGAAAACTCTCATAGCGCATGAGCTGGTTATGGTGAAAGTTGTCAAAATTACTCTGAAATTAGGCCAGTACTCAACATTTTCTTGAACTTAACAGCTGTGAAAGCTGTGTTTTTTTTTTTTTTTTTTTTTTTTTTATACAATTACCTCCTTAACTGTGTATAATAGGGAAAAACCTGTCTTAGTAACTCGAGTCAGGGCTATGAAAACGTGGGCTGCCCGCCTTCACTGTGTGCTTCTGACTGTTATCGACTCAGACTCGCTGTGATCGAGCTCGCAGGCAGGTCAACACATGCACACCCTCCCCATCAGCAGAGTGAGAGCAACCTTTAAAGGCAGGGATGGATTTTCCAGACTCGGAAGGACTCCCTAAAGGCAGTCAATGGTTAAAGAGTTTTGTTTTTTTAGCATATCCATTTAACTTAGAAATTATATTATTCTGTTCCATAAAGTCCATCTCTAAACTAAGCAGTTCTGTTGTTCCACAGTTATATTTGTTGTGATCTATATGATCAGGCTAAAACAGAAATGTCATAATCCCTGAATATGGAGGAATCCTTGCCAACACACAGAAAATGGAATAAAATGTTGAACCTGCAGGTTTATTTGTTTATCCATAACTGAGACGAACAGCAAATAATGACGCCTACACATTAGAGACTTTCAGCATATTTTCTTTGCTTTGCTATTTGTTGAGAAGCTTCCGCATATTTACTCAACAGATATCTGTTAAACATGGAAATGTAATAATACAAATAGTCACATATCAGATAACAAAGTACAAATCTTTTGGATGAATTTTAAAGCAAGGGTACATTTAAATCATGCCATTGCATAAAAGTCTTTTTTTTATGTGGATGCTGCTTTTGGGAAACTATTCATTTTTTTTCTTGATGGTGTTCCTCCCTCGTTTGCAGCAAGATGAGCACACAGTACCAAGCAGTGATGTCAGCAGTGTTGTTCAGCACATTATTGTGGCTGCTCCTCATCTTCACTATGCGGCTGTGCCTCAAGCAGCTGCTCTCCTACCACCGCTGGATGTTCGAGCAGCATGGAAAGATGTCCACCACCACCAAAATCTGGGTGGTCAGTGCTGTTTGCTTACTTAACCACTTTCTTCAGTGTCCTTGTTGAGTCACTATGCATTGTGTTGTGTTTTTATCTTATTAGACTTTTATTATATTTAAAGAATTAGAGTGGTCTACGTGTCTCTGCATGTTTTATGTATCAGAACAATATTTTTTACATTCAAAATGCACCATCTGATTTGACATGATATACAGTTGTGAAAGTTTCCACACCCACCATAAATATATACTATTAATTCAAATAATACAAAACTGAAAAAAGTAATAATAAATAAAAATGTACTAAATGTTAAATTAATAAAAATCTAATATTGATTTGGAACTTTTGTTTGAAAAAGAAATTTTAAAAACAAAAAATTCCCAGACAAATTAAAGTACCTTGCTAATGAACAGTGAATATTCCTGTAAACAGGTGTAGACGTTTGACTGAACATTTACTGAACATTACAGAAAACACCTGATTTCAATGATTGCATTACAATTTTAGTTCAAGAACTCCGACATCAGACTTTTTTATTTCATTTATTTAATTTTATATATACATAAGTAGATGTGTATATTCAAAATCAATGTCGTGAGTTCCATTTATTTTATTTTTCTGACAGCTGATTTTTATTTTTCTGTCTTTAAAGGAATGGCATGTAAGCTTTCAAGAACAGCTGTAAATGGGTCAAACTAATAGCATAAAATAAAAAATCAAGAAAGTCCTATGGGCATCTATTTAGCTACAGTCTGAGTCAGTGGGTGTTTGTGTGTCATATTCCAGGCTCTGGTGCGGATCTTCTCTGGCAGAAAGCCTTTGCTCTACAGCTACCAGGGATCCCTGCCAAACCTGCCTGTACCTGCCGTGAAGGACACAGTCAAAAGGGTGAGATGTTATGGCGCAGAGGAAATTATGTCTCTCTGATCAGAGAATAAAAAAAACAACAACATCCTTTTCTCATCTTTACACCAACAAACAGGGAATTCTTTTTTTTTTTTTCCTCCCTTTTTTTTTTGGATGGGGGGGTCCAATCTTGATGTGTTAATTGTAATTTTCCCTTTGAGCAATTTTTTTTAGCAATTGGTTTCTGCTAATTTTGTATACACTGCTAATTTATCAACTATAAATGCATAGTAACATTTATTACCCTTATATTTAACTGGTTACCAATATATTTAGGTTTACATAGAAGAAATTGAATAGAGAAAGAAGAATTATTCTTTTCTACCAAATTTGCTTTAGTTGCAGATGTGGAACCGCTACCCCCTCCTTCTCAGCAGCTTGCTACTGCTATGCTCCTAACAAATTTGCTATAATTGGTGCTTGATTGTTTGCAGACAAGACTCAACTCTGTGCTCCGTGGCTTGGTGGTCTTCTTTAAGCATCAGGGTTTTAATGACTTTGTAAGACATGCAGATGAGGAGACAAAGAAAATTGCTCATACAACCTCACCTACTCTGGTCTTTTACTCTGAAAAGCACCAAGAATGTAACAAAGGGAAATCACAATGTGTTTTTATTTAAACTTGGGACAAAAATTGAGCAGAGGGAGCAAGCAGGGGACCATACTGTGTAACAAAAATTGAGCAGAGGGAGCAAGCAGGGGACCATACTGTGTAATATATATATATATATATATATATATATATATATATATATATATATATATTGTTTTCTTTGTTATAACTTCTGTTGTCTAAAAGTGTAGCAAAATGCACACAATATTTCTGTATTTATGAAAAAAAGCTTGGTTACTAATGAACTGGAGCCTTTCTGCTGTGAGCCCTATTTATTCATGGGAAAAGGTGACATCAGAGATTAGCACTAAATACAGTATTTCTACCATAGTGAAAAAATTCAAAAGCGTATTGTGACGATTTCAAAGTTAGTGTTAAATATCACTCAAACCTGTTAGCATTGCTAACCTTTCACTCTAGTTTATCTGTATGAAAACGTCTGTCATGATTTTTCCAACTGACTTAACACATTTCCAGATCTTCTTATCTCTACTGGAGACAGTGTTTGTAATTTTAAACAGGATGAAACAAGTTTCTTTAATCCCGTTAGTGTTCTGGTCTAATGAAGTTTCATGTTGCCTTTTGCTAATCTATAAAGGACTATTGAGTTTTCTCCTTAGTTTTAATGGCTGCATCTATTTGACATGTCTTCCCTTGCTTTAGTTGTTTGCAGGAATGACATCACAGATTTGTTGCTCTTCCTTCATCTGATGAAGGTCAACCTCACTGCCCATGGATTAACAAGCTTTTTAATGTTTTATTTAATTTGACAAAGCTGGCAAAGAAATTCTGTTGGGGTATAAAATATTTTGTTAATGTACAATTTATTTATTTCAGAGTAAAATTTAATTAAATAATTGTGTAAATGGTTAATATCAGGTCTGAAACCCAGTTGGTACAGATGTCAGCTCTACGTTTCACTGTAGCATCGTACAAGCTAGCTAAAAGTTTTCTTTAACATTGTTTTCCCTTATTTCTAGCTGAAATATATCTGACAGAAACTAACTGATTGCATAAAAAGCCAGAATTATCCGTAAAGCCACATAAAGAAAAACATTTTCTCCTCTTTGCACAAGTGATAAAGCTTTTTCTTCCTGAATATATAAGAATCTTATATATTCTCTCATTTGCAGTTCCTTGAATCTGTGCGCCCACTGATGGACGATGCAGAATACGAGCGAACAAACAATCTGGCCACTGAGTTTGAAAGCAGCCTTGGTAAACGCCTTCAGTGGTACCTGAAGCTCAAAGCTCTCTGGGCCTCAAACTACGTGAGTCACTGCCCACGTTGCTCTGACAGAGTCTGGCTACTTGAGAGTCAGAGAAAAAAGTAATTCTATTAATAATGTATTTCATCGTGGGATTTTGTGGTGTGAATTATTTATCCTATCTGAATAATAAATATATGTGATGTCTAAATGCACTAAATCGCTCTCTGAAAAAAGGTTTTTGCACATTTCAGGTTAGTGACTGGTGGGAGGAGTACGTTTATCTACGTGGACGAAGCCCCATTATGGTCAACAGTAACTACTATGGCATGGTAATCAGTTTAACTTTCATTTGTTTTATCATTTTTGAAAAATACCGTAAATTCTCTAATATTGGCCTGTATTCCAATAGCGGCCGGGTCTCTAATA